GGTTTGGGTCGTTGCCATAGCCCCTCCGCGGATCCCCGGGAGCGGGACGGGTCTGGGGAGGTGGGGGACCCGGCCCCGGTGCCCTTCAGAAGTCCCTTGGGATGTAGCGGTGTCTGTCTCCGCGTAGAGTTCGTTGCCGCGACTCATCACCTCCGGGTAACCCCGGCTTTGGTTTGGAGTTGTCTCGCCTTGGAAACTTCCTGAAATAGAAGTGCAGCACTGCGCCCTGTTTGGTGCCTGGTGACGGCAATCGGACAACAACTTCTGGGTGTCTGACGCATTTGCAACCTAAGCAAAACCTGCGTTTCTTTACTGCAGTTCCACTGCAGGTGCTTGAAATAGTATGTAAGACTGCAAAAAAGGGGCCTAGTGTTTTCCAGTACTCATTTTTAATGGCAGTGCAGTAACTGGGAGCTCCAGTTTGCTGTGTACAGAAAAAAAAAACCAACCTCACTCCATAACTGAATGACTTTGATTTTGCATCCTTACAGCACTTTCTGTTTTGCCTTTGCTTCTTCATGTATTAGTTAGCAAGGGAGAACTCTCTGCCTTTTCCTCGTTGGTTTAATTTTTATGTGCTTTTTATTGCAGTTGAAATGCATGGTAAAGTTGGTCCTAGGGTCAGTCAGTCCTTCAGGACTGCCCTGTTTAGGGCTAACGCCCTAAAGGCCCATACACTACTACTTGCTTGGTGGGATGGGCAGAGAATCAGAAGCTAAATATGCAAAAACTTGTGGGTTGAGATGAAGACAGTTTAATAGGTAAGGCAAAGGCCTCTTGTATAAGCAAAGCAAAATTCATTCATTCTTGCCATCTCCAGGAAAGCAGGGCTTCATGCATGTAATAGTTACTTGGGAAGACAAAGCCATCACTCCGAATATCTTCCCTTTCTTCCTCCCCAGCTTTCTATGCTGAGCATGACACCATATGGTATGGGGTATCCCTTGCGTTAATTGGGGTCAGCTGTCCCAGCTGTGTCCCCTCCTAACTCCTTTTGCACCCCCAGCCTGCTCACTCGTGGGGCAGTGTGAGAAAAGGCCTTGCTCTGTGTGAGCACTGCTCGGTAACAGCTGAAATGTACTGTGGAAAAAATTAACTATTGCCGTCAAAAGCAGTACAGACCAGTTCTTCAGGACATTTCCCCAGTCTGGTAATTGCTCTCCAGAATAACCTTCTTGCTTCTTTTATCTAGTTGGTTTTGCATCCTGTATGAATACCTCTATTATTTTGGTCGAAAGTCATCCTGAATGGTATAATACAAGGTCTTCTTACAGGCTTCTGTGACTAAAAATTCTGGTATCAGGATAGCTAGCATGGCATGTCTTTAGTAGACACATGCTGCCTTTAATTCAACTTGTAGTTTACATCTTTCATACTTAAACGTATTTTACGTCTTTTATGCTTAAACTTGTGTTGTGCTGTAAGGATGTTTTTCTTTAAATTTTTATTTATAAAATTTATGTGGTGCAGAGATCAGGCTACTGGATCTTTTGTTATCTGATACTTTTTTCTTAAATGAAGTTGTTATTGTTATGTTTTAGTTGTGTGGTACTGTTGCTGATGCAGCAGATTTATTAGACTTGTACGTTTAATTGTAAAGTACTTATAAGTTCCAAAACCAGACATCCATGCTGTTCTGAAAGGGAGAATATTCTAAGGGATCTGTTCACATGGCTTGAAAAATAGACCTTTGCCATCTAAGTAACAGGCTTGAAAAATGTTTTACTCAATAAATGTGGAAGATACCCAGTTGTACAAATCCACAAAACCACATCCTGCTGTTTTAAGGAAAAAGTGCAGCAGTTATAAGAAACTTCAGACAGTTTGTGATGGAAGTTGTTCATGGTGAATGTAGCGTACAAACCTCTTCAGCTTGCCAGTGCAGAGACATGTATGGGATGTGGCTGGGAAGGAGCTTCTGTGGTGAAGTGCAGGTTTGGAAAAATGATGCACTTACAAGAAGAGACACATTGGAATGCTGTGGTGGGTTTCACAGGTCAGCTGGGCAGAGAAAGTAATATCCAGCATAAAACTGCTGTGGGAGTCTCAGGGGAACTTTTAGTCCTGGGGCAGGTAGAAAATGCGCAGGTGAGTGCTGCTGCCTTCTTGCCTCTGTTTGGTCACCCTAAACTGCACTGTATAGCTGGTTCTTAGTTTTTGGTTGCTTTTGAAGGTGTATAGCAACCAAATAGGAGAAAGCAGGCCTAGGGATTTACCGCAGAGTAGGCAGCATTAGTTTTTTGAGGAGCTGTCTCTAGATGGTGCATTTTAAAGATTGACTGCATGGCTGTGTCTGAAGATTAAGGAAGAGTGGATTTGAGGGTCACACAATTTGGTTTCCTGAGTGCAGTAGTTGGTGACATACTGCACAATGTGTTTGTTGTGTAGTCTGCAAGAAAAGTAAAGTCAAATGTGAAAATATCTTGCATATTTATCGTTCCAACCTAAGGTGTCCCTTCATAACTGCTCAAACCTGTGTTTGTAGTATAAGTTACTTTCCTTTGTTTTGTTTTCTAAATGGCTAATACGTTCTGTTGATTATCAGGAAAGTGAAAATTCTCTGAGCGTAAGATTTTAATTTTTTTTTTTAAATACAGTAATTTGCTGCATCTTTGTGTATCTGCTAAATTGTATTTAACTGTGCAGAAATCTAGTGTGGCACTCTGATTTAAAACTCAACAAAACACAGGTGGTGCAGAGAAGATGAACAAAGAATTGCTTTCCACTGTCTCTTGCCGTACAAAAACCAGAGGGTGTTGAATGGAACCTGAAAGGATCTCGTTCAAGACAGGCACCAGGTAGTAAGGCTGCTGAACTCCTTGCTGAGGGATGTTCTGTGCACTAAAAATGTATATGAACTCACAGTGTAGGACAAATTGATTCAGACATTTAAGAGAAGCTGTTAAATACAAAAAACATCATCTGCAGCATTTGCCTGAGTAGTAGACAGTAGCTGGAGAGGATCTGGGAAAGTTTCTCTGCAGGTTTATGCTCCTCTATTTCTTCCAAGGCATTTCCTTCTGACTCTCTTTGATGATGGCTGAGTGAACCATGGGTGTGGTTGTCCTTAGGTACAAGGCATAGGTCCAATGTAAAATTAAAAAGAACTCTTTATGACTCAGTTATGATTCTATGCTGCCTTACTGTAAACAACAGCCAAAGAGCCAAATGCTGCAGGAGTCTGCAGATTTAGGAAGATTGTAGTGGTAGGCAATTTTGCTTGCACTTTGAAAATGATTTCTGCATAAGGGATGGAAAAATACTTAAGAAAGCTTTCCAGGAAAGCTGAATTTTTTTGCTTTTAAAAGGCTACTTTTGATGTATTAAGCATAAGCAGTAGCGTAGCAGCAGCCAGTATGACTGCCGAAGGTTTTTTTTGGAATTCACAGTTTACATATCATGTATTTACAAATGTAAATACATGTGTTCAGATAGATAGTTATAAAAATCATCAAATTACTTGTTGTGTATAGCTTTATTGGAATATTCTTAGTAGGTACTATGATGTTTGGTGTTCTCAGCAGAGAGTAGAGAGCCTTTCAAAAAACAGGGTGGGGGGAAAGGAACACGTGGGTTTAGCATTACTAGGCAACTATCTTGTAACAGTGACATTGATAATTAATATTAGAAAATAATATACCAGTTCTTGAAGCTGGTTAGTTTGTGAGGAGGTTCCAGCTACAGGTTGGTTCTAGTGTGGCGGCTTCTATGTAACTCTGTTTTTCTCTCTAGCACTGCATTCTTACTGACTGGTGCATAAACATATACTGAAAGTCTGAGTTACGAATCTGTTGCTCTAAAGTATTTCAGAATACTCCTTTAAATTTTCCAGTGATGTCAAGGCTGATGGTGCTGGAGAAGCTAGTAAACCTACAGAGATGCCTATGCAGAGAAGAAAACGTATTTCCACTGTGCCCAATCTGAAACCGAGAGCTGGGCCTTCATCTGCGCAGCGTTTAGCATCAAAACCTCTGAGGCAAGCATCACAGGCTCCTGAAGGCAGTGCTTCACTTCAGAAGGATTCGTCTCCATCAGAGGAGAGTAATGTTGAAAGCTCTTTAAAGTCTCCTATGCTGCCTGAAAAGAAAATACCTGTACCACAAGTGCCACAGTTTTCCCCACTAAAAAAATCAGCAAACAAAGAGCAAACTGTAGATGTAACTGCTCAAAAAAATGATGATACCTTGCAGAAGAATGTACCCTCCCCACTCAAGGAGAGACCAACACAGGAAAGATCAGGACCACAAGAGGAAAAGCTACCTGTGAATCCTGCTCCTGTAAAAGAGAAACGAGTATGTTCTGACCGTGAAAGGATCCTCAAAGCTCGGAAGTTAAGAGAAATGCTTAAAGAAGAGCTGAAGAAAGAGCGGATGGTAAGCCTCTGTGTTCAGTAGTGCTGATCTGTGAAGGGCAATTGTGTGATGCACCTAACACGTTATCTCTTTGCAGAGATCTTTCCTGATGATCATTAGTTGCTTACTGCTAATAGTCTGTGTTCTCATAGCTGTATGGATTTAGTCTGTTTATAAGCAGTAGTAGCACTGTGTTCCCTCATAACACAGTTATTGTGTATCTTTTGATTAGCCCCATAAGCGTTTTTGGTATGAAACCTGTGGTAAGTTTCACAGTTGGGAAGTATGGTTAAGAAGCTTGGTATTTGGGGCCCTCTTATCTTTTCACCTCGATTGTTGACTAAGTTCTGTAATTTTTAATAACTTTTCACTTGTGCCAAGTACTGAATTTCTCTTGAAAGGGTAAGTTACTTAAGGTCTGTTGGGGTCCTCTCTGACAAAGGGACGCTTTTAAGGTAATCTTACTTCAGTTGTTGGAGGGAAGGGTGGGAACAATAAACCTTCCTGAATAAGGTGCTCTCTAAACAAATAAAAATATTCATTTGGGAAATATAAAGTACTTTCAGTGTGAATTTAAGGGTGTTTTTCTCTTTTTGTGTGGAAACAGTTGAAACACAGGCCTCCAGTAATTGAGGGACGTTCTCCACCAGATCGTTCTAAAATGACCATGAGAGACTTGATATACTATCTACCAGAAAACAATCCTATGAAGTAAGTATGATTATTTTTCTCTTTCCTTAGGTTAAATTATTTTTCTTTTTTCTACTGATTTAATAGATGTGAAAATGAAAATTCTTAAATCTGGAGTCTTAGATGCAGTATTGTTGCAATGGTAACAAAAGCTGTTAGACATTTGCACATCTACTCAGTCTTCATACAGAAATAAGAATGGAGATTACCATACTAATTGAAATATGAAAACATGAACCTGTCCCCAGTGTTGATTTGTCTCTGTACAAATGCAGAATAATAGAAATAATTTTTGTGGTTTTTTGTTTGTTTTGTTTTGTGGGGTTTTTTTCTTTTTGTTTGTTTGTTTGATTGATTGATTTTTCTTGTTTGGTTTGTTTTTTTGTTTCGTTGTGTTTTGGTTTTGTTTTATTAGCTGCTGTTAAACTTTTAGTTATGGCTTCTAGGGACGTTATGACTGCCTGCCCAACCTAGTGGACTACATGAAGCTAAGCATTTCGCCATCCCAGCTGCTGAAGTGCAAAATGCACAGTAAGACCCCTGAGGTCTCTCCGTTCCAGCTTCATGGATATAGCTACTCTGTTCCCTTTACACATTTTGCTAGTAGCAAGGCTGAGTGAGAATCCCAGAACTGCATATACACAGGGAATGCTAACATAGCTGGCTTGCACAGACTGCCACAGGCAGAGGCACGGCCTTTTTTTGCTGTACCTACCAAAAAAAGCCACATAAGCAGAAGTACAGCTATCTAAGTCCTGTTCTTCCTCTCAGTAGCAGACCAGTTTTCTGCTATTGTCTGTTACCACCTGCTTGTTAATGTTTCTGTGCTTCTGTGTGATAGTTATCACTTCCCTTGTTTTGTTTTGTTTTGGTTTTTTTTACACTGAAAAATCCTTAAGCAGGTAATGAACTAGATGCTCTCACATTCTCTGTACCTTTACAGTGGATTGCTGCTTGAAATATCTTTTTTTCTCCTTGATTATACAAAAAAAGCCCACAGAATTCATTGCGCAGTGGTGGTTTTCAGCTAGACTTAAGTCTAGATGTTGTACAGAGAACTGGAAAAAAACCTTTGTGTTTTTTTGTCTGTTACCCAATAAAGCATATTTTGTGGAATGAAGCAGGAATCTATCTGTACAAACATTCATCTCTACCTTTTTGTAAAATTCTAGGTCTTCACTGGCAGAAGAAAAGAGAACAGAAAAAAGTTCTGCACTGAATCAAATGAAAGAGTAAGTGATGATGGAAATACTTATGGTCAAAAAGTTTTCTGATGTTGTTAGAAACCCACCCACCTCCCCCCCCGCCCCGTTTCTGTGGTGATACTAAGTGTAGGGGGTTTTTGGGGGTTCGTTTTTTTTTTTTTACACTGTTTGAATATCACAGCCCGTATTTATAACAAATTGTAATTTGGGACGGGAGAGTGGTTAAAGAGCATTTTGCTTTTTGGATTTGTCTATTTTACAATAGAATGAAAAGCAGATTCTAGCATTTATATGCTGACTAACTTGCTGATGGTGTGAATTGCTGGGTGGTTCATTAAATGGTTAAATGTTTGGCATACGGAGAAACCATTCAAAACACTAACAAAACTAGTATTTTTGCTTCATCTATTAAAATTTTAGACAAGAAGAGAAAAGTACTCCTGATCATGAAGATGAGGAGGAAGATGAGGAAGCAGAGAATGGGGAGGAGAGTCAGGATGGTCCACTTCTAGTTCCTCGTGTGAAAGTAGCAGAAGATGGTTCAATTATTCTGGATGAAGAAAGGTAAAAAATTCTGTCCCTGACTCATGCACAATATACAGTACATTGCTGCTTAGTTTGTGAATACAGAACAGTTACTTTGGATGGAGACAAATGCGAGTGAGTGTGTTTCTGTTGAGAGTTGAACTGTCCTAACTTAGGAAACAGTACAAATATGTGGCAAAATATGAGCAGCAGTTGTGGCAGACTTTCTCTAAAAGAAATGTTTTTGGAGAAGGAGATAGAAAGGAAGACGTCATATTTTGTTATAGTGAACAAATACTGAATAATCGTCAAACTTCCAAATGTCTACTTTTTAGTTAACTTTGTTTCTCACAGTATGCATGTCTGCTTACTGTAATTTGGCTGTCAGTATGACTTGCTCCAGCTTTGCATCTTGCGTGTTGCTGCTTTATATGTTTATGTAAATATATATTTATTAATCTGTTTTCAGTAACTTTGCTTAGAATATGGCTTTTTAAAAGTAATGATTATCAAATTATTGAGTTCCCCAGATGTATTATTAGCATGAGATTTAGGCCAAGGTTAGAGCAGTCCTGGTGAAAGAATTTGAAAGTATTCAAAAAGGATATGGAGAGGCTCTTGTGGTTTTGCAAAACAATTTTCTTGAATGTTAAAAAGACAGTATTTTTCTTTTATTTAAGTTATTTAATTATGCCTGTCTATACTGTATCTTACAAAAATCATATGTATGTTTACAGGCTGGGTTAGGATAATGAGTTTTTGCTGCATTGTCTCATTAAAATGCATGTTAATGTAATTATTAAACCTGGTTACACAGTACAAACTCTGATTTGTGGCTGGCCTGTAAATATTTAGTATGTCTTGTTAGCATTATTTTCAGGTAAGTTTCTGTGTGTGTTTGCTTTTCCAGTTTAACTGTAGAAGTTCTAAGAACAAAAGGTCCATGTGTTGTAGAAGAAAATGACCCTATCTTTGAACGTGGCTCTACAACTACGTATTCGAGCTTCAGGAGAAGTTTTTACACAAAACCATGGTCAAATAAAGGTGAGCATATTTTGGGTTCAAGTTTTGAGTCTGCAAAAAAATCTCAGTTTTCCATTTATGCTTTGTACTCAACAATTTTTATTTGTAGTGGAGTAAACGGATCTGTTTGTGTGACATAGTCTCAACCCTCCAAACTCTTAGAATAAGTAGAGCTCTGATGCTTACTGTGAAAACTGGCTTTTTTAAGAAATCAAATGCCTTGTGATGTGAATGCTGTCCCTGATTTCCTTCTGTCATGGATATTTAGGCACTGTGAAAATGCTGGTCTGCGTTATCAAAAGTGTAATTTTGGATTCTGGATTCTCTTTTCATGTTCTGCAGTTTTATGACAAATTAGAGAGTTCTTTTTGTTAAGAGGTCACTCAGCAATGTTATTAGAGGTACTTAGGTGAAATAATACGCATATTCCAGCTGAGCTGAACTTGTAGCAACAGTAGATATCCTTAAAGTTATTGATCTTGTTGCATTAAGTTTGGTGTTTTTATTTTAGGTAGCAAGAAGAATGGTTAACTGAATACCTAAGTATGTGAATCTTTTTTCTTTCTTTTTTTTCCCCCCACTCCAGAAACAGACATGTTCTTTTTAGCAATCAGTATGGTAGGAACAGACTTTTCCTTGATTGGACGGCTGTTTCCTCATAGAGCCAGAGCAGAAATTAAGGTAAAAATTAAAGCAGTCAGTAAAGCAAGTAGATGTTTGTTTTCACTTTTCTTTTTCTCATTTGCTATTCCTATGCTTCCTCTATTAGTATTCATAATTTTGATGTTAATTGGATCTATAGCAATGCCTTCTTTAATACCTGTTCCCAAGAGATATTAAGTGTCTGAAACATTAATATGCTGGGTTGAATTCCAGTCAACATATTCAGTAAATCTAGCATACCTAGACACAGTTTGTTTCTCTTTTCTTTTAATTGAAGAATGCTGATAAGCATAATTGGATGTTTGGTGAGGGTCGCCTGTGTGGCCTCTTTCATGGTATCCGCCTGGGAAACTCATTGATATTTCAAACCCTGCTTAGATGTGAAGTAAGGACAAAAATGTTGAAAATAAAAAAAAATAAAATTGTGACTAGTGTTATCTATTGGTGACAGATTTTATATCTAATTATAAACTTGTGTTCTGTGAGTGCGCTTGTGAGTTCTAACAACTTTGGTTGGTAGAAAATTTGTTGCATTGAAGGCTTATCTTGATCTACTTTTTTGTACAGTATAATGTTACTAAAAAGGACAATTATACCCTTGCTTTTAGAACAAGTTCAAACGTGAGGAAAAAGCTAATGGATGGAGGATAGACAAAGCTTTCAGTAAGTAAAGTAAATGTACCCTGCCCTACAATGAGTCATTAAATTGTAGTTGTGTTTTTTCATATGTAAGTCCTAGAGCAGCATGTTAATACATTATTTGACATTATTGTACAATTCGTGTATTGTAGCATCACTTCTTCAATTTTCTAAACTGCTAAGTGCTGTAACCTTATTACTATTTGTTTTCAAACCCAAGCTACCATAATCTATATATATGTCAACTCTAGTCCCTGCTCAAGTGATACAGAAATTATTTTAAGAAAGAATATTCTGTTTAAATTTATATAACCTTTGCTTTTTAGGATCATAACATGTACCACTGATTATTTTACAAAGCAAAAACTTGGAAAAATTATTGACTTTGATGTATTTTCTGTTTGCTTTAATCTTACAGAAGAAAAGCGGCCTTTTGACTTTGAATTCTTTGCCCAGCTGCTTGAGAAGGTCTTAGCAGATGAGGAAAAGAGGAAGCATAAGACCGTTAAAAGCCAGAAGCCAAGGGAAAAGAAGCCACCAAGGCCTCGGAAGAAGCCAAAAGGTACATCAGAAGAATGCTTAAGATAGCATTTGCAGAGCAGTGGTCAGTAATGTGTTGCCAGCAGGGGAAAAATCGCGTAGGGAATCTTTTCATTCCTTGTAGCAGACAGGGGAAGAGGATCCTGGCTTCATAGTGTAACTTTTTCAGGTGTAGTTTACTGACGTGTGGGATGATAATAACTGGTAGCAGCCCCTTTCCTAAGATGAGTTTTCTCTGGACAGGAATCTAAGACCACCCTGAAATTAGTGCTCTTCCACAGTCTGAAGCACTGATACTCTAAACAGGATATTCTAATTTAACAGTTGATAAGTATCTCTATGAGTTGCTAACAAATTCACTTTTAGAATCCTTGGGCTAAAACTGTATTTTTGGCAAGGCTGTTTCGTGACTTTTAATTTAAATTCTTCTTACCCTTAAAACTCTCTTTTTTCGAGGGCTCTGGTTCTCCTTTAATTATAGTTTGACTCCCTAAATCTGAATGGTGTGATTCTTTTCAAGAAGTCTTATAAGAGTTGTTTTAGTTTTCTGGTCTGTTCAAAATAAACGGTAAAGATTATGTTTAATTACTGTTGATCACCATATAGTGTTTTTATTACCTCAGTACCTTTGAAGCGACTTTTCAGAGATGTGCTTAAATTAGAAACAGTTATAGTGACACCATTTCGTAAATTCCCTGCTAATTCTCTGGGGTTGTTCATTTGTTTGTTCCACAAGAGCCCATTTTCTTCCTAAGTAGTATTGTGGAACAAACAAGTGAACAACCTTTTTAAAGGGGATGCTAGCTATGAAGCTACATTGGTTTTTAGGTGTTAAAATTGACATAGTTCCTGCTTTTCTTGATTTCAGATTTGATTAAGTAAAATGTTCCACCTATTAGGACTTAGAGCCACATATAGAAATTCTGTTCGTAGACTTCAGTGGTAGTTTAAAGGTACTTTATGTGTAAAGGAATGTGAGTATGCCTTTCTACTTCTCTTGCCTTTTGGAATTTGTAATTACTGGGGAACAAATTTGTGTAAGAATAGGGAAAGGTTCTTGTTGGTTAATGTTCTGCATAAATAACAAGATCAAGACAAAATATCCTAAAAAGGAGAAGGAAGAGAATTTTAGAAACTTGTTAAACCCAGAAGAAAATTTGTGAGTTATTAACTAAATAATAATTTAGCTTTCTTGTGTAAATAAGAAATTACTAACTACTATACCTTTATTGATTAAAAAATTAAATGATTAAAATTGCTTTTTCATGGCATACTTTCTGCAACTATCATCACTTCTTTCTGAAGAGATACAATTCTTTTCAGGAATAGCAATACCTACTTTTCCTGGTGGCTGTGCAACCTGTTAAAAAGTATAGGAACAAGAATATTTACTAAATTGGCTTTATATCATATATTGACTACCCTGGTGAAGTGTTGTTCCATGTGCAGAACGTGTTTACTGTTGAAGTTAATCTATGCTGAATCTTTTCTGGTAAGTCAGTGACTGACTTCTTATGGTCCTGCTCGTTTTCCTGGCAGTATATTTGCAGTGATGTATGGATTAACAAGATGTTGCTAGTGGAGATACCTTTGCCGTTTATGTTGCCTAATACTTCACCAGTCTATTAACCAGGAACTATTTTGTCTGAATAGCAAAAGCTGCCAGCACAGAAGCTGCTAATGATCAAGATGATTCTCAGGAAGCCAGAATTTCTGGTGCAGAAACAGAAGCAGATGCTGTGACAGCTGAGAAAGAAAATGAGGAATCTTTGGGCATTTCTGAACAGGCAGAAGAACAGGCTGCATTAGAGCCAGTGTTAGTGAAAAAGAAGAGAAAGAAGAAGAAAAAAGATGATCTTGAACAGGAAAGAGAGAATCTTCCAGAAGAAATGGCTGTCCCTCCAAAAATTGCTGAGGAAGGGAAGTCCCCTAAGAAAAGTAAGAGGCAAAAATGCTCACTTTCAAATATAAATTTTATATAAAGACATTGCAAACTTAAAAAATGAGAACTTGAGTTTTGATTTATATCACTGATCTATGTTGGGAGGTTGCGGAACAATGCTTTTCAAAATCAGCTTTCATACTAAATACATACTTCATTTTAGCTGAGAACAGTTCTCTTAAATCTTAACGTTTAGGCATTTTCTGCTGGGATTTTTTTCTCTTAAACTAAATCTTGCTTCACTGTAGCTAGGATTTGAAAATTGGAATTCTAAGATTTGACCAGAATGTCCAAATTGATGTAATTTTTATTCAGTAGCAGAAAAAAGCGTGGTATGTGATGCAAAGAAAGATGATCATGCTACCTGTAGAGAAGAATTGGACAGTGTTACGGAAGGAAAACAAGATGAGACTGCTGTTACAGAGGAAGAGAGATCAGAGTCCCTTTTACCAGTGGATGACACAATGGAGAGAGAAAGTGATGTCAATTTATGCAGGTAATGTTTAAAATCTTAGGTTATCTTTTAAAGTCTTAAAAGCTTAGGCAAAATAAGAACAGTTCAGAGTTTCAATACTGGTTTTATTCATGCTTATCATCATGTTAACTGGCACAGAATGGGCAGGGTTTTTTGGTATTTGGGGACCATCACTGGGTTTTCAGAAACTGTTTTCAATTTACACTCTTAGTGTATTTTCTGCCCTGATGGGCTGTCCTTGTAAAATTTATTTATGTTAATACTAAAATCCCATCCAAAACTGCTTCACTTTTTGGAGTGTTCATGGACGCTATTGGCTTATCCTAACTCCTGATATTTCTTTTAAAGCACTGCTTGGTAATGTTGCTAAGTAGTGTTGCTATACACTTGGAATTTATATCTGTTTTCAGTAAGATGTTTCTTGTGGGAAAGGTATGTTGCTTGGACTTTATTTGTGCAGAATCTGGGTGCGGAGCAAGCTTTTGTTTTCAATTTTGGACATTATTTTACTAGAAAGGGTTATGTTTATTCACTTGTTGAATGTTTATTAAACTTGTTATATAAGGAAGTGGTAAATCTAAGAAGTCGTTATGAAGCTGTTACTGCTGCTTCAGAATTTAATGTGTTAATTGTTGTATTTAGCTGTATTGTACTGCTTATTATTTCATACAGATTCCCAGAAAATTTTATGTGCTTTAATACCTCATTGGAATCATATGAAGGAACAGATTTGTCTTTGAACTCTATAATATAGAGTGTTACAGAAAATCAGGGGAAAAAAGGTTTCTGCGTACAGTTTATATTAAAGCCTGCTCTAATAATCAGATGGGATTTTAACATCTTCTTGTAATAGTATTACAAAAGTTGTTTTAAAGCTCGTATCCTGCAAATATCACAAAAACTTCTCAGATACTCTGAAACACATAAGTAATGTGAAATTTGCATATTTTTTGTGGAACTTGACCTATCTGTAAAGAATAATGCTTTTTAAATTAAAATACACTAATATGGTTTTGTGTGCTTTTATTGACTTCAGCTTTGAAGATAGCAATGAAGTTATACTAGAAATGGAACCTGCTAAACTGAGCATCCTGGATACTAGAGATGATACATCACAGGAAAGCCAGATTTCAGACTTACCAGTTTCAAAGATCAGAAGCAAAGAAAGACAATCTGAAGAAACTAGAGAAACAAAGGTGTTTTTTTTTCTTTTTTTTAATGTAGTTCTTACTTCTTAAGCAATTCCTCTTAACCATTATAGTGTTTTTGTAGATCAAAGCCCTTTTCTTTGCCTGTTTTTGTGATGGTTTTACCACTAGCAGAAAAAAGGCAACAAGTCTGAGAACATCACCAAAATTTAAATATTACCAATTTGGTTGGCTTTACTGAGTTGTCTGCTGCATTACATTTATTCAGAGAGTATCTGTGCATGCTTGGCTTATCTCATAGACAATTTAAACAGCTGCATAGTTTAATTATTCACAAGTGAAGCAGTATAATATCAATGGTAGTACTTAAGGGCAAGATTTTGCTGTCCTGTGCTTACTAGCACAGTGTTGGAAACTGGTTTGAGAAGGATGAGCAATTCAGTTGTTCATGCTACCTCAGGATGGAAACCTTTATAAACCCTTGTCCACTGGTACTGGCTCCCTTGAGAGGTTTCAGGAAAGATGTAAGAAACTGGACCAAGACTGAATGATCTTCCTTTGAGTACAGTCTAATCAGGTCCAGCAGTTTAGGAACCTTCTGAGATTGTGTCTGGCTTCTTTTCAAGCCCTTGATGCACCTCCTGCTTGTGAGTTTGTCTAGCTGCTTTACTGCATTCATCTGTACTGTTGTGGTGAATTGCATACTAAAGATGAGAGTTCATTCCTTTGTTTACTTAACTTAAAAAGTGTATTCTTTGGATTGTTTAAAGATGATAGCTGGTAGTTTGATATGAACTATACTTCCATTGTTACATTTCTGTTCATATTTATGGTGTTCCTGGTTATCTTTTCAAAGCTATGCTTGTTTATAATGCCAAATATTCCTCTCTCATGATCTGGATGATGGGGCGGAGTGTACCCTCAGCAAATTTGCAGATTACACAGAACCAGGAGTAGCTGCTGATACACCAGAAGGTTGTGCCGCCATCCAGAAGGACCTGGAGAGGCTGGAGAAATGGGCTGACTGGAATCCCATGAAGTTCAACAAGGGGAGGTGCAAAGTCCTGCACCTGGGGAGGAACAACCCCAGGCACCAGGACATGGTGGGGGCCACCCAGATGAGAAGCAGCAGGGTAGAGAAGAAACCCAGGAGTCCTGGTGCACACCAAATTGAGCATGAGCCAGCAATGTGCCCTGGATGCAAAAAAGACTAATGGAATCTCTCTTATGATGAAATGAACAGTTCAGCCTGGAGAAAGAGAAGGCTCAGGGGGATCTCTTCAACAGCTGTATAAAAACCTAAATGCAGGGTGCAAAGAAGACGGAGCCGGGCTCTATCAGTGGTGCCCAGTGACAGGACCAGAGGCAATGGGCACAAACTGAAACACAAGAGGATCCTTCTGAATAGTGGAAAATACAGTGGAAAATACTTTTCCAGTGTAATTGAGCACTGGCACAGTTACCCAGAGAGACCGTGGAGTCTCCATCTTTGGCAATAATCAAAAGGCATTTGGGCAGGGTATTGAGCAACCAGCTATAGGTGGCCCTGTGTGAGCAGATGATCTCCAGAAGACCCTTCCAACCTCAAACATTCTGTGAACCATATTCTTGTTTCTGCTTTTTTTTTTTTACATTACAGGAAGAAGTCTACATTTATCAGTTCCTTTCTGTATTTTTTTTCCTTATTCAGAACAAAGACATGCATGGCTTACAAAGACCGGATGAAAAGCAGAGTACATCAGAAAGCGATTCTCAATCTGAAGTCATGTAAGTAAAGGTATTTTTCCTTGAATTTACTTGAGCTTAACCTGTATTTACTTGATTTGGATACAGTTCTAATTGACCACCGTATGCTGGACTGGATGGTAGATCGTGATAACTTTTGAGTAGCAATGCTTTGACCGAGATACAAAATTTTATGTGGGAATGACGGGGAGGACTTAAATAAGCTTAGGAAAAAGCTAGCCCCACTACAATAGCAACAGTAGAGCTTCATTCAAACATTTGAAAGTAGATTCCACTGAAAGCCAGCAAAGTTTATTTGACACTCTGCGTTAAGCAGCATATTTTCTAATATCAGAAAGATGTTATGTGTTTTTTTTAAGGTTATTGCTGCATTACCTATGCAGTCTGTGGTGTTCTTGAAGTACGTCTTGGATCATATAAGACTTCAAGTTTCTCTTTGGTAATAATATATACCACCTCTTTTTACATCATAAGGAAAACTGACATGCCAGCAGGCAGAAGGCGTTTGCAAAGACCTAAACCCAATTTAGTGAGATCATCTGTAAGGAGAGAAGCATCAACACAAAAGAAGACGGAGGCTGAGACTTCATCTTTGAACCTTGTGAATGCTGATGAAAAGGTCAGAAGGAGGAGCATTGCTTAATATGCTATGCTCTTGATGCAGTATTGGTTTTCATCAGTGCTGGTACTGTGGACCAGCTACAGTCTAATAAGTAGTATTCTGAGTACTGCTTCTGAGATATCTGCACACTTGTCCAAGAGTAATATTCCTTGCCTCAATTCCAGTGCTCTGAGGAAGACAGTAGCAGAAGGAGGAACGAAGCCACAGAAGTAGAGAACATGGCTTTGGGTACTAAATCTGAGTAAGTATTGAGATTGCTTTTCCAGTCTTCTGGAATGAACTAACCATAATTGTTGATTTATTCTACATGGCGCTTTTACAAAAAGACAACAGTAATTGTGAAGTTTTAATATGAATCTTAAATTTGACTTCGGAATTTTGTTGGATGGTATCAGGTGGTACTGTGGTAGAAGGCATGTGCTTATTTTTTTGGGAATTTGAGGAAAGCATTACTTTATGAAGTACAAACTGTGCTTGAAATTTGGCAGGAGGTAGAGGGAGAAGTGATAACTATGCCTTTGCCTTCCTCCCAGCCTCAGTTGCCAGATAATAGCTCTGCTTCTGACACTTGCAGAAGCAGCACCTGTGGTATACAGTCTAGTTAGATTCCTCCCCTGTGTGCTAACTTCATACTTTTTTCTTAGGTAGATAAATTGAGTTTCTACACTCTGTAAGACTAAAGAAAGTTTGGCTCTTTTGTGAGGAAACTTGCATAAGTTTGTGCAAATCCTTCCAAAGACAACCCACTTACACTAAAGACAGCTGTGCAAGTCATTGAATATTACATAGACTTGAATATTGTGGAGTAAATGTCACTGTTGTGGATCCTTTGTGCAGAGAACCTGAAAAAAATGTAATTGCAAAGGCAATAGTTAGAGGATGTCGACAGAGATTTAAGCCTAATATTACAAGAGCATCTGGAAAGAAAGAAGAGCCTGAAAAAGATGCAGGAAATGATACAGTGTCTCATCCACAGCCTGAGGAGGAAACCGAAAAGGTATTTAATAGAGTAAGTTAGCTGGAGATAATGTGTTAGCTAAAAAGTTGCTGGATAGAATAGCAATGTTATCTTTTTAATTTTCTTCCCCTGAGTATGACCAGGAATCAGCCACTTAACTTAACCTGCAGTGACAGTGTGGCACTGTTTAGAGGCCTCAGCTAAGCTGGAGCTTGTCATTCGAACAGTAGATGCCAATAATCTTTCAGGTCCTGAAGCAAATACAGCTTTAGTTGTTTGATAGAGATTTTACTGCACCTTTCTGACTGTGTGAAATGTACCCCTGTAACTGTCTCTGTCCGTCACAAGCAATCCACTTTGTATCCTGTTACGGACAGTTACCTAGTCTGTTCGGTGATGCTGTACTTTATAAATGTAGGAAAGTTAATGTCTTAATGTTATATTTCTATTTAGAACACTGACCGAAGTAATAGGTCTGATGCTACCAGTGAAGAAGCTGGAGAAAAAGGTGATGAAGTCCTGGAGACAGTGCCTCAGTAAGTATGTGAAAAATGAGAAGACATGCTACTCTCCGACAATTTGCCATCCTTTTCACTTATGGTAGTATTACATATTATTGTAATTAGAGAAGTTTCTGAAGAAACTTCAGGAATAAAACAAAAATTGAGGGAAGAATAGGAATCTTTTTAATGCATGAAACAGATTAAATATTTTTGGTTTAAAAAAATTAAAAAATAAAAAAGCATTGCTTTTAAATGAGGTGTCAGTCATGATACACGCAGAAAAAAGTCGCTTGAAAGCTAAAACAAGTCTTCTCTACTAGCTTTAATACTGAAAAGCGTCAATTTCAGTGGCTGAGTATTTAAACAATTGGAAAAATTCCAACATACTGGCATTTTAATGCACATGTTAAGAAGTGTTTCCTGTATTTCTTTTCAGTGGAGAAATGGCAGCTGTAGTGCAACAGGAGAAATGTTTTACAGGAGAGATTGTTTTGAGAGGGATTAAAAAAAGGCTAGTTTGTATCTGATATTTTTACATTAGTAAGATTATGAAGTTATATATGTGTTTTCTGAATGTTTGTGATTTCTTAACCCTTCATTAAATTAGGTCCATCTGCCTCTAGACCAGATAGGAATACAAGAAGAGCCATTATGGGTCAGAAAAAGGGCTGTCTAGTGTGGTATCCTGTCTCCAGTGGGAAAAGAAAAAGAACAGGGCAAACATAAGTTTAAACTTGTCAGGTACTTTTTCAGTCTCTAGCAGATATACTTCTAACCTTACTATTTCATGAAGTTAGTAGTGCATAGCTCTGTTTTAGATAAGTGTATGTTGTTTAAAAGAAAAAAAAAATCACTTCTCCAAGTCTCCTCTCACTTCCATATGTGGTATGTAATTATGGATCTTAAATATTTTTCCAGGTCTAATGAAACAGCTGGTTTACAACAAGATGGCAAACAGAGTGTGCTGCAACCAGCACCTCTAAAGAGAGGCAGATTGCAGAGACCAAAACCAAATCTAGGAAGGAGTGTTCTAAGACAGAAAGACCTCACAGCTGAAAAAGCTCCTGAAGAGGAGAAAACTGAAGGTGGAGAACTACAAAAAGATATGATACACCATAAGGATGAAAGCAACGATCCGTGCCTTGAAAATGTAAGTTTCCTGACGAGTTGCTTAGGCACACTGTTTTGATAGGTCCTAAGTAGAAGCCTTTAGTATCAAAGATCTGGGTACATACCAGACAATTTGTAAGCATAGCCTTATCATGCTTTGTTTATCCTTTCAGAATAAACTGAATTGTCATAAAATTCCCGCATGCTTGCACTTGGGTTTTATTTTACATGGATAGATGGATTATATCTCACTCGGTTGTGTTATTTGTGATACCAGATCTGAAAAGAGAAGTGCAGAGAAAGGCGATCTCTTGGAAAAGAGACCACTTCAGATAGAAAATTAATAGGAAAATAAGAAATTTTTACTTTTAAAATATCTAGTTGGATGCACAGGAAGCAAGAGACATCTTTTTGAGTGTTTTTCTAAGAGATACTAAAACAAACGTTTTCATTTCCACTTGCTCTGCTAAAAGAGAGGTTGAGCAACTCTCATCTTAGAGTGAAACTTTTTCGGTTTAGGATGTGACAGTTCATGAAGACACTCAACCAGGCAATGTGACTTTAGAAGGGGATGTTTCTACAGATTCTGAGATGAACTCAATACAGGAAAAGTCCTCTGAAGCAGAAAGGTATGAAAATGAAAAGGGATTGTAAGATATCTTGAAACAGGTTCCAGATTTCAATACAAGGTAAGGTTATTTTTTAAATGGAGAGAAGTAGTTCAAAACCACCGATATCCCTAGGTATTCTTGATTTTTACATTCAACTTCAGCATTAAAACCAAGTTCTATATCTGTAATGAGATGTTTAATCAAGACAATACTAAACTTAAACAAACAAAACCCCAAGAGCTCAAAAGCACTAAATATGTATGCCCTTGGATATTGATTTATCTTTAGACTGTGAGCCTGATGCTCAGTTCCATAGTTATCTTCTCCATGTTGGTCCTAGCAATGTGTCCCTATGTGTTTATGTAAAGGGTTTGGTTTTTTATTAAATTGTCCTTTAAAAAGAACTCAAAATCCACAACTGTGCTGTAAATCTACTGGGTAGTTTTAAATATGATTAGACAAAGGCATTTTTAAAATGTTTATACTCTCAAAGCATGCACGCAAGTTGTTCTGAAATGGCATCTTTTTTTAACTTACCTTTGCTCACCTATTTGTAAGATACACAGGTTTTTGATGGCGTTCAAGGTGCTTTTTTCGGATCTTTTTTCACCATATAATTAACTTTATTATTCTTTTAAGAAAGATAAGATTTTTTATACTTGGCTACTGTATTGAAGAGAAATACATAAAAGCATGTCATTCATGACTTGGAGAACGACTGTTGTCCTATGCCTTCAGTTGTTCTTTTTGTTTGTTTTTGTAGGGAGTCTGGTCCTCAGAAGGAAGAGGAGAAAACTGTTCTATCAACAGCTTGGCAACTAAAGAGTCGATTCCAGAGACCAAAGCCAAATTTAAGAACGACAACTAGTAGGAAGAAAGTGCTGGATGTAAATAATACAGGTGTATCACAGGAAGATACCAACAAGGAAGGAAGTTTGATACAGTGTGACAGTGAATGTGGCATCCTTCTTGATACAGATGTAAGGCACTTTTTTTCTTTTTTCCCCTTTTTTAGTTATATTTGAATTTTTGGGTTTGTGAAATTAAATACTGATGATTTAAGAAATACAAAGTTAATATTTTTTGAATCCACGTTTTCAGAAGCTAAATTTTTCTACATGAAAACTCCTATACTTTCTACTTGGTTGTGTGTGAGGAGAAAAAGATTACCTCCATTCTGTATCTTGTTATGTGTCCAAACATCTTTCTGACTTGAGGTGGCCTTGTAGAGCTGACAGGGAAGAAAGAAAAGTATTAATAGAACATGGCAAAGAAGAAGTATAGATTTCAAGCTATTTTGTTTTAGATAAACAAATTTTGTATTTGTCCTTGAAAGACTAGGAAATTATTAGTGAGAGGTTAGAGGGTTTTTTCCAGGGAACACTTCAGAGGGTGACTAGTACTGGACTTTGTACTAATTGTACTGGACTTTGGACATCATGTCTCCTTTTGGTTTAGTATTATGACTTTTCCCTGGTTCTTGTGTTTACTTTTTTCAGGATGTAGGAAAACATCAAGTCCTGCAATCATTGGAGCTCTTAGGAAAGGAGAAGTCTGTTGGCTCTCAGGAGGTTTCTGAGAGTCCAAGCTGTAAGTCCCCAAAGAAATTTTCAAGATCAGAGGATGGCGAACTCAAGTCTTGTCTACCCAAGATTAGCCAAGATGACACCTCAGCCACTAACACAGAGTAAGGGCTTACCTACTTTTGTTTCATGACTTCTACAATGAAAATATTTTAAAAGGAAATCGTGTCAATAGATTGCCAACTGGCAAAGAAAATCTAATAAAAATACTGAATGAAATCTTAGTTCTCACAGATTTGACACTAGTGATACTAAAATTCCAGTTACTTCTATGCTAAACATTAAATTAATGAGCATTCATTTTACAGCTGTTTCATCATCTGAAACACAAGATTCATTTAATGTAAGCAGAGGAATACTGGTTTGCTATCAGAGAAACCATGTGAAAATTGACTTGACTTTATAGTAATAGGCAGGCAGTAAGTTAATACCTCCAGTAAGTTAATTAATTCTGTTGTGGAGCAGCTCCTCGGTCACTCCCCCACTTCTTTCCCCCTGACTCCTAGAGGGATGGGTAGGAAAATTGAAAGAATGTAAACCCCATGGGTTGAGATAAGAGCAGTCCAGTAACTAAGGTATAATACAAAACCAATACTGCTACCACCAATAATAATAATGATGAGGGAATAACAAGGGGAGAGAATATAAAACTAAAAGGGGAAAGGAAAAAAAACCCAATAACCAGCAGTGATGCACAATACAATTGCTCAGCACCCGCTGACCAGGACCCAGCCCGACCCAAGCAGCGATCTGCCTTTCCTGGTGACTCCCCCCCGTTTCTATACTGGGCGTAACGTGCTGTGGTATGGAATACCACTTTGGCTAGTTCAGGTCAGGGGTCCTGTCTCTGCTCCCTCCCAGCTTTTTGTGCCCCTTCTCATGTCAGAGCATGAGAGACTGAAAAGTCCTTGGTCGGCATAAGCACTACTGAGTAACAACTAAAAACATCGGTGTGTTATCAGCACTGTTCTCAGACTAAAGCAGAAAACACAGCACTGCACTAGCTACTAAGAAGGAGAAAAATAACTGCTGCAGCTGAACCCAGGACAGAAATACATGGTGAAACCAAGTTTTATGTTTGTAACTTAAACTCGGCAGAACTTTACTTTTACATGGTTTCTTTTAAAAACTCAGTTGTTTTTTATACTTAAGTATAATGAACCTGTGTTTGTTAATGATGTGCTTTTGTATTAAATTGCGGGTTTATTTTTTTTCTGTCTGACTTTGCACTGATAGCAAAAATAGCACTGGAGAACATAAACAAACGCCTCTTCAACCTGCCCAATTAGTGCGGCGCAGATTCCAGAGGTATAAGCCAAACTTGGTAAGAGCTGTTGTAAGGAAGGAATTACAAATACCAGAAAAGAAGATGGAGAAAACTCCTGAACCAGAGCAGTCAGTATTGCAAGAAGATGAGTCTGCCAGTACTCTCATTGTAAGTCTTAGTAAGTGCTTTGTGTTCAAAAGCATGGTTCCAAGTTGCATGTTCTATTTTATGAACGTAAATTAGAGCATCTAAATTTCATTCCATGAAGCAGAGATGCTACACTAGATGAAAAAAAACCCCCAAGCCCTGGTATGTTGAGGTGTTGCACGTACCTCAACAGACACTTTACTAAGCACTGTAAAAGGTATTAATCCTTGAAAGCCATCCAGTATGATGAAATCAGTGAAGTCTACAACTTATGCTATTAATGTCTTCTGGAATAAGAAGATCTGATTTTGATCAGATTGCATTATAGAGAAAAGGATTATGCAGCATTTAAGGTAAATGCTAGAATAAAGATGTGATTTATATTACAATACAGAAATATTAGCTTCTCTGTTTATCTTTCCTGTTTGGATGAATCAAATCTGTATTGAGGAATCTAGTATAGAATATCAAGAGAAGGTATAGGATAGCTATTTTCCTGGTGGTTTTTGTTTGGTTTTTTTTTTTATGTCTTATTAATTTGGTAAGCTTTAGCTTCACCACAACAGTCCCTGACACTCCTCTACTTTACACAGGTAAACTGAGTCATTCACCTACATGTATCCCCACAGACACTTTACTAGGCACTGTGAAAGGTACTGAAATCCTTGAAAGCCATGCCAGTATGATGAAATCTCTGTAACCCTTTTGTGGGTTGCTCATGCCAGTGGTGTAGGCATGACTGCACAGACTTGCCTTAGATCTCGAACATGACTAAGCTTTCTAAGAGTGACCTTTTTTTTTTTTTTTGAGTGTTTTTTGTTGTTGGTTTTTTTTTTTGAGCTGTTTTGTTCTTGCACCTCTGTAGTCCTGGCTTGGAGTACTTGTGTGCCATGTTCCCAGAGAGGAGCACAAGTACACTGCATTTGTAATCTCCCTCTCGGTGCCGCAGTGTCAGCTAACCCCTAACTGAGATAGTTGTTTGCAATTTAGCTTTGGCTGTTCTAGACCTGTGGACCATGCTTATACATCTCCCCTGTGCTGTGGAAATCTGTAGAACCACAGCAGGTCTGATGATCCTCTGTACTAATAAAGCTGTCATGGACCTGGAGTGCTGAGGGATGTGTTTGAGTGGCTTATTTGTGGAATTAGTGTGGCAAATACACAAATAAAAACAGCAAGGCCCTATGAACATGAGGTTATAGTGGCTTGCATGTGTCTGTGCTGTGCTCTGCAGTATCCAGTTTTAAAAGGTTTTTCCATTTGCCAAAGGGTTTTGTTTCCATAGAGTTGATTGAATGCTAAATAGAACTGTGCTAAATAGAACCCATAATGCTTGGGTGCATATAGCATTTAAAAGCCTAATTCTAGGTAGCCCAGGACTAAGACTTTTCGGTTCATGCTTGTCTGTAAATTGAATTATGTGCTTAGGCAGATTACCCTCAATAAATAAAAGGTGATTCTTTTCTTGATTCAGGTTGGTAAAACAGCACAGAGATCTGTAGTTTGTATGTTCTTATACAAGTTCAGTTTAGTAACTTGCTTGCTTGTCTTATTCTTCATGGGGTTTTTCTTTTTTTTTTCTAATTGCAAATTAAAGGGTACAAATGAAGCAGTATTGTGTCAAGCAGATGTATTGAGCAAAGTGGAACAGGAACAGCAAGAGGTGCCTCAGCTGCCCTGTATTTCTGAAAACATATTGTGTGAACAAAGCAGGTGAGGCTAGAGTTCATCAAAACTGCACTTGAAAAAACTTTGTGTGGTACATGAGACACCTTCGCATATGTTAATTCTTTTGTTCCTTGTTACCTGTCTTTTCCCAGTGTTCAGTGCCTATAGGCAGCTTCTTCCCATGTTTTCAGAGCACACTTTTAGTTGAGCTGAACTACTTGTCATTGTTTATTTGGTACATGCTTGATCTGCATGAGCTCATCGATCTTTTGGACTAGGCTTTTCTTTCATTTGGTTTGTATTTGCATATACAGTGATCAGTAACATGTAACAAGTTAAAATTGTGCAAAATGTCAGAGATCTGTCTTATTGATCCCAGTGTGCTCTTCTATTTTACTGCTGTTCTTGTTAAAACAAGCTCTTAAGCATGTATTAGACTGCAGGTACTTTGATGTTGGTGTGGTTAGCAACACAACTTTTTGCTTTATTAAAAATACCTTGACAAAGAAATCTGTTTATTCATCCTTGCATGTTAATGATGAATGCTCAAAATAAGAAATATGTATTTGAAAAGATAGTTGTCTCTATTTTAAACGAAACAGTGTTTCAGTCTCTAACCCTTTTGTATAACTGTTGATTCAAACTTAATCAATTCAGAATTGCTTTTTTCTTCTCTCAACCAAAGTCAAGTGACATAATTTTCTTTTGGTTTGTCTGTTTGCTTTAAATTCACTAGTGCTGAAAAATCCACTTCCCAAGAAGGCAAGCTGGGTGCTCTGGGATCAGGACATTTCATAAGGAAAGCATCTCCAAGAATTAGGCCGAACCTAAAAAGAGCATATAGGGAAAAAGAATCTCCAGTGGCACGAACACTTGCTGCTCCAGTTGAGGAAAAAGCAAATAAAGGAGAAAATCTGCCTATGGTAGAAGAATCTGAGGAACTTCCTTCCTCAAAAGTAAGAATCCTGGTCAGATGTTTCTGACTATACTTTCTGATGCTTGGTTCTGCACTAGGACATCCAAATAAGCTGTTTAAGCGCATAAATTAATTTTGGACTAATAAGAATACATGCTTGTTTAATATTTGCACTCTATTGTGAAGTCTTCAAAAATTCTGTTAGTGACACATTGGTAATATGTAGACTTCTGTTATCAAATCTAAAGATCTCACTTAAACGTTGAAATTTCAGTCATGTTCATGATACATGAGGTTACCTACGTGTCATATTTCTGTTGTTGGGTTTCTTCTGAACTCCTTGGTTGTTGCTCATGGAAGTTTAAGAGAAATTTTGTCTCAAGTTAAGGTCTTGATCATAACTTGAAATGCTTTATTTTACAGGTGATATATATTGTGCTAATTCTGTTTGGTTTTTTGTTTGTTTGTTTGTTTTCTTCCCCCTCAACTGAAAGGATGACATGGAAGTACCATTGTCTGTGGAGAGTTTGGTCAAGGATGACAATCTAGACATAAATCTGAAAAGTAGGAAGTCAGAAACACTCTGTTCCCCTGAAAAATCACCAAACTGCCACAATAAGGCAGAACAAGAACAACAGCTATCTGAAGATACAATAGGAATCATTCAGGATACTGCAGAAAGGTAAAGTTTGTTGTTGGCAAAATACACAAAGTTTTTGAAGAGCTTTTTTTATTTGCCCAGTTGTTTTCATCCAGCATTTGCTTTTTGAAGTGTAGTTTCTGAGCTGTACTAGATACACTGCGAAGGTCACTAGGTGGCATCCTTAGGTAATATAAGAGTTTTTAACAGGCTTCTTCTCAAGGTTGTTTTCCTTTTTAGAAAGTACTTTGCAGGAGAGAGTAGAAGTAAATAATCAGAGTCTAGCTGTCTGAATTTCACAGACAGGGTACAATTCTTAGGGTACAATGCACTAGAAATGTGGGCTGTTGAAAGGAAGACTGAGCAGTGACTTTTTCAATCACTTTAATTGCAAAGTGATAGGTAGAGTAACATGAAATAGGCTTGCTGTCTATTTCCAGAAAGAGACATTCATGCAACAATGTGCAGTGTCCTAGTTCTTTGGAGGAGCGGGTACTTTTTATGTACGTGCAATATGAGGCAGATAGAGCCATTTAGATGTAACAGTTCTGGATTATGTTATAACCTACATTTTGTTCAATCTTAACAGATACAGAGCAGCCTCAGATCAATTTACTTTTGCTGTTTTCTGAAATGAGCTTCCAGTTTCTGTCTGTCTCTGAGCCTCTATGTAAAATCTCTTCCATAACTTATATTGAAATCATATCCCAGAGTCTTTGTGCTAACAAGAAAAGGGCCTTGCCATACAATCCTCTTGGCTTCTGTGGTGGCAGAATTTCACAGAATGTTTGAGGTTGGAAGGGTCTT